CTCCCACCGTTGGGCCATGTTTAATCATATACAGGACTGGGGCTAAAATTGGAGTGGGAAACTAATAGCCTTTGACCGTTTAAAGTACTCCTCCCTTCCACAAAATAATTACATGCTTATCACTTCTTAGACCTCTAGAAGTTATTAATACACCTCTGTGCAGGCAAGCACATACAACTTCTGACTGTAAAGCTAATGCATCACACTATGCTATTTTTTCTATTTCACTGTTGCTACAGGCACCATTTCTAACAGACCAAGCAGTTAATGCAGATACTTGGTATTTGGCAAAAGCGTGTAACATGGAAGGTTATACAGCTCAGTCTGAAAGCAGCAATGCAACTCAGAAGTCTTATACCCCATGGTATTTAGTATGAACATAGATGTTGTCTTTCATATTTAATAATCTGTTCTTTCTTAAGGTCTATCTGACAGGTTAAGTAAAATTACTGCCCTATATGTTGCTGCTGTGGTTCTCAACAGCTGCACTGCAGAAGACTTACCACTATAGCTGGCTGGATTTATTTTTGGTGGGAGGAGGGTGATAATACCCGGTAAGTGAACCCCAGGATAACTCTCACAGTGGTATGAGCAGGCAGTTGGAGACTGTCATTTAGTGGTCTTACCTACAGCCATGTAAAATACAGGAAACAATCACAAACTTGCAGTATTGCCCAGTGATAACAAGGGGAAGAGTTATACGCAAAATTAATATTAAACTGATTAACTGTAAAATACATTTCAGTAAGCCAAACCAGTTCTCAGTACAAAAAAAAAAAAGGAAGTTTCCAGCTATTCCAGAAATTTCAAGTCAAGTGGATTTGAATTTTCCATTAATCTAATAAAAATACTTCCATCAAAGTTCTAATTTGATATTTTCCATTTGTTTTTGTTGTTTTTCCCTCCTACTAGGCTCACTTTGCTAAAAAAACTAGAAGCCTGATGATACAGAAGATGTTAGACTTTAAATTCAAACCCAGCATTAATAGTAGTTTGTCAGTTTTGCTGGTAAATCCTCCAGGCGAGTTTACTGAGACTTAACTGACAACATCCAAGACAAAGTACAAGGGTACGATATTACAAACATTCGTATGGAAGATTAGGGTGCGAAAACTACATCAGAAAATACTGTTAACAAGGCAAATCCAGCACAAAAAATAAAACAAAGGTTTCACTTGTGTCTGCTTCAGATTTTCCAGGCTTGCTGCTCTTCATTATTATCAAGCCATCCAGAGATGGCAAAAACCAGTCAATAAGATTCCAAAGTAACTCAGAAGATTGGAAACTTATATCCTAGGGTATAAATTGGGAGGTATTAAGCACACATTTGATGCATAAATAACATAATCTCCCTGTATTCTTCAGAGAGTTGACAACATTAATGTAAGCCTAAAATTACTCCTGTTCCAGATCCCTTAGTTTTATTAATTTTTATAAAGTGCTTTAAATAAAAGTTACATGAAAGACACAAAGTAATCCTCTCTGATCCTAGTTTTCATTTTATGAATCTATCAGTGTTTTCAAGCTCTGAGACTCCAAAACGTTAGTTCTCATTTTAATAGCACTATGGTAGGAGTCTGTAAATATTGCAGTAATAATAAAATGAGCTAATTTAATTTCTTAGGAGAATGTATGTATAAAGTTCCCTGTGGTTTGTAATTACTGTAAAGTCAACAGTTTACATCAATGACCCGTTAATCAGCTAGTCAGAATGTAAATAATTAATGAAATAAATGTTTTCAATGAGCTTGCTCATGGAAGACTCCTTGGAGTATGGTAAAACAGCAGTTCTGTGAGAATAGTATTGTAGAAGAGTCAAGCCTCTTATTACATACACATTTGTATTTTGTTTCTTATTAATTTGGTACAAAACAGTAAATGCTTTTTGTAAATACCTTTCTATTGATCTAATACCAATTCATGTTAATTCCATTTTGCTAAATGAGTGCCAACATCATGTAAGTGCTATGAGTTATGGGAATATCCAAGAGTGAAAGGCAGAATCCTACATATCATAGAATCATAGAATCGTTTAGGCTGGAAAAGACCTTTAAGATTATCCAGTCCAACCATTAACCTAACATTACCAAGTCCACACTAAACCAGTTAAGGGGAGAGTAGCAATTTCATGTTTCCTGGCTTGGTGGCTGGATCATTTATAATGAAAGTAAAAACTAGGAATCATTAAGATTGGAAAGGATCTCTAAGATCATCAGTCCAACCATCAACCCAACACCACCATGCCCACTAAACCATGTCCTCAAGTGCCACGTCTACCCGATTTTTGAACTCTTCCAGGGATGGTGACTCCACCACCTCTCTGGGCAGCCTGTTCCAATGCTTGACTACCCTTTCTGTGAAGAAATTTTCCTAATACCCAATCTAAACCTCCCCTGGCACAACTTGAGGCTGTTTCCTCTTGTCCTACTGCTTGTTACTTGGGAGAAGAGACCAACACCCACCTCACTACACCCTCCTTTCAGGTAGTTGTGGAGAGCGATAAGGTCTCCCCTCAGCCTCCTCTTCTTCAGACTAAACAACCCCAGCATCCTGGCAGCTTCTCTTGTTACACTGCTCACAAACAAAACCATTTTTTCTTAACATTTCAGCAGGGTCAGAATCAGTCTAGGAAACAACTTTATACTGAACTCCTGTGACAAGGAAGAACTATACCATTAATCTTTTATGGCATGCCCTGCACATGCTATCTATGCTTTAGCAGTCAAAAGGTGGGCTGGTTTTATTATTTCACTGTATTTAAGAAATGCTTTAACATGAAAACACAGATGAAAAGTACTGATGTTTCAGTCTCACTTATACAACAGGCATCACATTATCAATCATTATCTGCTTAAATGCTACTCACTAATTTCAACATGCTGCTAAATTGCTAATACTATGACAGTCAGTGATATTCCTGGTAGCACAACATAATTTTGGATTTTGTCTTTGTGATTCCTACAGTTCAAAATTCATTTTCACATTCACTTTTTGACTATGCCCCAAAATCATCTAAAGGAATTAGGCAGGCCTCAGTACGATCTTGTTATTGACATTTATGTTGATCGATGTTGGCTCTCACAGAATTGGAATCTACAGATCAATTCCCTTATTAGATTCGTTCTCAGTGCTGCCATGATCATTTTATCACAGAAGCTGCTGCCATCAAATGCTGCTTTATCACTTTATAATGGGATAAGCTGAAGCTTTCCTCTAGCATACAGCTGGAAATGAAAACTGTCTGAGCTCTAAATATTTCTTCCACAGATTTTCAAAAATATCCTTATTAACTGCATATGTCTATTTTAAAAGGTTTTTAAACTCCACTTACCTAACCAGTAATAATTTTTGCCCACAAGAAAATTCCAGTTCTCAGGGTGCTGGAAAAAAAAAAAAAGGCTAACACTGAAGACTGCCCTGGATCTATTAATCACTTTCTTCCTGCTGAGTCTATGCGTGATGATAAAAAAAAAATGAGGCTAAGAATGAACATATGACAGAAAAAACAAAACAGTCTCAGGAATAGTAAGCAGTATTATTTGAACACACACATGCAAACACTCAAAAAGCACACAGAACAAATACATACACAAGGTTTGTCTCAAGTGTTTTATCTGGTTTTGAAAATACGCAGGGCCATGGTATTTTTGTAAGAGTGGTGTTACAGCTCCTGTTGAGAGAGGAGTTCATCACATTAATTTAAATCTCTGATAAAATAAATTAGCTTTTTTATTGCCAGGTTGAACTACGGGGCTATGATTGTTATGTATTGCTACAATCTAAGTGTTAATGGCATTTTAGCCCTGTGGTGGTCAAACAGAAACCATTTCAAACCTTCTAAAGGCTATTAAAACATGTGCAGATGTCTGGAAAATTAATACTATTATCTAACTCTAACCTTGTGCCTGTAGGAGAAAAAGGAGAGAGAAGGCTCAGGGAAGATGTTTTAGATCAATACGTGGCAACAGAGGAGGGTAAGCACTGTTTCACATGGAAGTTCATTGGCTGTGAACAGGTGATTCAAGTGAGCAGATTCATCCTTATTTGGATTTCATTGAAATCATCCATTTACTCAGAAAAATAATTTAAGAGAGATGAGCATCATTTTTACAGTTCTTCCTCACTGCTGTTTCCAAGGTCCAGCAAGCTAGATGCTGGAAAGGTTCATTCATTTAAATGACAAGAGCACGAATTTGTCAAGGTTAATATTGAACAAGCCATATTTTCCTTGCCTCAGTATTATGCATTTAAGAGGTTTCTCCGTTCCTCCACCCTCCTTTTTTTATTTTGTGTGAGACTGTTGAAATGTCAGATGGACTGAAAGGAGTTTAAAAGTAGGAGGAGGATTTCAAGAAATACTTTTATCGTTAGTTTAAGGCTTTTATATACATATTTTCTCTCCAACTCTAATGCATTGTTTTTGGCTCTGACAGAATAATTTCAAATAAGGAGAGACTTTTTAAGAAGGTTTTCTTGAATACCTGGATACAAGGTACTTTATTTTATCCTTTTTCCTCAAAGCACTTACTTGAGGTATGGTTTAGAAAAAGTAAGTAGGCAGACTGACAGCTGGTAAGAATTATTGGCTCCAATTCTTATACTGAAATTAAAAGAATTTCTGCCAGGTCAGGAAGTGTCCCATAGACTTCCCAAACTTTTGCTGCTTTTCATAAATAAAGCTTCTAGAGGGTCACAGTGTGCATGTGTTGTGGTACTTCATTCTTGAAATCTGACCGCAAGATCTCCAAATGGCAGTTCAAGTTCTGCAACATTTATTCTGATACACAAAAAATCACAGGGCTTGTGTGCAGGACAGAGTATAACTCTGTAGACCTGATGGTCTGAATAAGCATCTCAAATCCTGGCTTCAGCCCTCTGTAATTCCATCGACCTGCTATGGAGAAACCACAAAAGGATCTCACAATCAGCCCGGCCATGCAAGCCAAGAAATCTTAGTAAGATCTGAAACAGAGGTGAGGTGGGAAAGCCAGTGCTGGTACCAACAAGGAGGGTGCACCATACTGGACAATATGAGGACACAGACCTGCACTGCCCATGTTCATCTGCACCTCGCTCCTACTGCTGTAGCCAGGAGGAACACCAGGAAACGGAAGAGGAGAAATGTCAGCCATTGCTCCTGGGCCAACCTGGGCTCTTGCAAGGGAAGGTGCAGTGCCCTCTAAGCACTACTTAGGACCTGGACCAGCCTTGGGAGTACCAGGTGCCGGCACACGATGACACCGAAGAGAGTCCCCTCTCACCCTGCAGCCAGCACCCAAGGCAGCCTGCCCCCAGGCTTGAAGCCGCTGTGAGCTCTACTCCAGCATAGATGGCCGGGAGCCGCAGACCTTTTCGGCAGCTGTCTCTGCTCAGAAGAAGCGGTGCCAACACTTCATTAGGAAACTGTGCCCTTGCGAATTGATCGTTTTTTCACAGCAGATAAAAGCAGGACTTAGGAAGTATTATACAGGAATTTCAAAAGGGGTCAGCTTCCAGTTTGGCACCAAATAAGTAGGCAGATTTTTAGAAGAGCTCAGCACAATGCCTGAACACCTGAAAGTCTGGTCCCGTGTGCATGAAGGACCTAAAGACCTAAATTAAAGGTTAATTCCATTTGTTATTCCCCCATGAACTGGTGAAGACTGGTAACAGAGCTGAAAGTACCCATATTTCTAATTATTGTCAAGATCTCCTAAGGACCATTTAGTGGAATAAATTTAAAGTGAGCCTCTAAAATACAGTGCTAATCTCTGATTCATGTTCACACTTGCAGTATCTATAATCCGTAATAACTGTGCCTAGATCTGTGCCTGTGCCTGTATCTACTGTACAGAAAAAGTACACAAGGCTTGTTTAGAGAAAAAAATGGAGTTAAGAGTAAGTAATAGGAAACTTAAAAAAATAGATGGAGCATTTCTGCTTTTGAAATATGATTGAATATAAAAATTTAGGATAAAAACACTAGAAAATTAAGTAGTTCATCTCTGAAACTGTATACCAGAAAGATGAACTGAAGAGTGGGTGTATATTTGAGATTTTTAAAGCACTGATAATAATTCAAGATGCCATTACTTTGGCAGTCTGGTTTCCATACTTGTAATGCAGTAAGATGGAGTTTAATTCATAATATTGAAGACGCCCTTGTAATGCACGCAGGACACACACAAATCACTGCTCCTCCCTGCACCCAGACATCGGTTAGTGACTAATGAAACACAGCTTGCTCACATCCAGAGGAAGAAATTGCATGAATGCAATCTAAAAATGCTAAAAATACAGAAAGACTCCAGTCTGTCAATATCACACTGTTAAAGATTTAATGACAAAGGTAACTTTTCCTTTTAGCTTGTCCTTATCAAGAGAGATACCCAGACAGTAATTTAAGAGTTAAGGCACTAATGGACTCTTGAGTTTCACTGAGCATCCACGTGCTGATTTTATCTTGCAATACAGTATTTCACATTCTCAGCGAAGTCAACAGAGATTTAGTCAATAGTGTCGTGGCCTTTGGATGAGGATTTGAATCTCACCAGTATCCAAACCATCATTAAAGAAGATAGGTCATCTGGGAAACAAAGGAGGGCATTAGTAAAATTCAATACTAAAAGATGGGGTGGGTTCAGTAGATGTTTTATGACTCATTATGAATAGCATTTTATTCTAATTACCACCCCTTTCTTCTATGCACAGTATCCATAAGAGTATGCAAAACATAGAAAGTATATCACAGGAAAATTAATTTTTTCATAACAGATGGCAACAGAAAATACCTTTCAAGTAATCTTATGTGCTATAAACCACTTAGCATAATGTTAGTTTGATTCATTTGATGGAATCTGTAATTTAAAATTACTGGCAAATAACACCGACCTGATACAATCTGAACAGCTTAAATGTTACCAAGTAGAGTACTTATTGGCACACCTATTTTTAAGTAAAAGAGCCACAATTCCATATTGCTTCATGTCTGCAAAGTGCCACTACACTTAAATAATAGTAACAAAACCACAGTTATAAAGTAAAATACAAATGAAGTTTTATATTTATTGAGTGTAATATCAGATGAAATTAATCCTTTAGCTATTATGTTTTATATACACACACTTTTGCATTTATCCTTCATTTAAGTTTCAAAGGCTTAAGAAAACAAAAATGGACTACATACTTAGCTCCATTAGTGCAATAAGAAGAAAATGACACATCTGTAATAATAATGGTTATATTTCTATACTGCTTTAGAATTTCAATAGATTCCCACTTTACCACAACAAGAGGACCTCTAAATCTTTGAATCATTTAATTTTATGCATTCTTTTGGTATTTCATTTGGGAGTTATGGAGTGTGAAATATGCACCATGATGAGAAAACAATTATCTAGCACACCTGTTGTTTGTGCATATTGTATTTAAGCAGGGTTTGCAGTGGCTACTATTTTATTCCACTGTGAAATCCAAAATAGGGACGCTTTAAAAGTTGACTTGATGACATGAACTTACTTTCATATGTAACACATGGTTTGTACTTACCACATCACATACTGTGATAACATTACATTAGCTAATTTTTGTTATCAGAATGTCAGTGAGAAAGATTTTTCCATTTAGAAAGGAAACCTGAAAGAAAGACTCTTGACTTAAATACACCAAATATATATATATATATTTAAAAAAATTGCAAACTTCAAACCCAGAAACATATCAGACAAAAAAATGGATCTGTTGGTCACACAAAACATAAACACATGAGTAACTCACAGAGTTTTCACGAGGTTCACAATCTAGAATAAAGATTGCCTCTAACCAACCTCTATACTTACACTTGACCATTTATACAAGGATTTACACGGTAAGTAGCTAATGCATCTTGGTAATACATTCATCAAACAGAGCAGGTCAAAATAGCATCCAACAGGTTAAGCATTGCTATAGCTTAAATATAACTGCATGGAATAAAAAAAGCTATCTTTTTAATGCTTATTAGAAGTTTGAAGCACAGGGCAAGTTTGGAAAGGAATACAGCAATACTGTTTCATATTGTGGAACTCCTTCCTTTTTTCTTGAATTTATTCCCATACTGAATGTACACAATGATTGGAAAAACCATGAAGAACATTCTTGAACTTAATGAGTCCGCCCACATACTTGCTTAGAGTTTCAAATGCCATATTGGATTCCTGCCATCATGTGCATCATCACTGATAATAAAAATCTATGCATAAAATAAAGAGAACTCTATGGTTCACCCAGTGTCAGCTGCATATTTTTCTTTGTCTAGAAAATAGGCAGCAAAATCTTACTTTTATTGTTAAGGCCTGTCATGTCAGTACAGCCCCACGGTTTTCTTGACACGTGCTTACTCTGAAAAACTGTCTTTGCTCTTCAGAACAATGCCTATATATTTCTTCAAAACTTAAAAAATATTGTTCCCCTCAGCCAAAATCATTCATAAATGCTTCACCAAAGATCACCTGTGGCTTTTCTAAAGATTATTTGCTCATTTGATTTACTGTTTTTGGTATGCCTGTAGCAATTTATTATCATTAGGATAATGGAAAAAGCTCATTTTTAGATTTGGTATCTGAAAATTATATATTTAAAATTGTATCACAAAATGTCATGTTTGTGTAGATATGGAAAGCCTTTCAGTGCTTTTCTTTGGAACCTCTCAAGGCTAGGTAAAGTACTTGCACATATGAAATTCTAGCAGTTGGGGGTAATTTTCTCTTAACAACATTCTCATTCTCATCAGAACTACATGCCTAGTGAGCTTTAGTTAATACTTTCTTTTTGTTGAGAGCAAATTGGTAAGAATTTAGGTGCTGAAATAAGGGACAACAACCCGACAAGAAGGGAGATCACCAAAGCACAAATTACAGATGGAGCAGACCTATCAGGTCAGTTGCTCTAACTCCCTCATAGTAAAATACTGTTCTCCACTGAACCTCTAGCTGTGATTTGTTTGCTTTAGTTTTAAAAATTATGAGGGATAATGCCCTACCTCTCCTCTCATACATCATGCCATGGTCTACAACAAAAATCTTTGTGATGTTCCTTTATCAGCCTGAATTAGATTTAGATCCAGCAAATCATTTTGACAAATGTTTTATTTTAAGAATGAAAGTTTTATAGTTTCCCTAGTCAGAAAAGAGCACGTCAGGATTCCCCCACATTACAGACTGGTGTTCTTGAGGGACAAGAAAAGCCACCCCAGCCATTTTGCTCAAGGGATCTCACAAAGCTTCCTGGAGATCTACACACCATGGCCGTGATTTATGTACTTACAAGCATAAGACTCTGTGACTAGAGATGGCCTGTGGAGAGCCACTGCTGTGGACGTCATCCAGTGATTCTCAGTGTGCTCCCAAAAATCTCCTTATCTCAGAGCCTCCTTCCAGAGCTGGCTGGATATCAGGTATCAACCTAATTCTTTCAGGCATTATGCTGCTGCCATTCATGCAAAACTAGAAGTCATACAGTCTAACTTAGGGACGTTAGATGGCGTTTCTTTGGAGGCGGCTCTTTCCTTTCCTTCTCTCATCACTGACTTTGGTCACCCATTCATCTAACCAGCAGTCTCATGAACACTTTATTTCTGCAATGTTTCTTCTGCATATATTTGGAGCTGCAAACAGGACAAGTGAGAAATATGGTTTACAATGTATTATCACATGTTGATGATTTGGGCTGAGATTTGAAGCTTTGTATTTCTGTCTTCTCAGATGTTACTGGTGAGTGAGGACATGACAGAAATAGAAAGTAGGTACCAGCTTACTGAGATAATGCAAGACTGGAAATAATGACATCAGCATCTTCACATGAAGAAATGTTCCTTTAATTTGTTCTTGACAGTCTCAGAAAGCTTTGAGTGTTCCTTACTAGATCGCTATCTTGATTCCTGATACACAGAAGCATTCTTATAATTTCTGACTGCTACAAGACCGGATGCTCTTTCTTGGGACAGGATCTTCATGACAGTCATTGTGCACCTTTGGTAGCCTTGATCTGGAGAAAGCACTCCAGCAGGGCGACAGCCTGAAATCTTTTGAGAACTGCAAATGGTGTAAAAATCACCACCTCACTTCTTAGTAGGTGCTCTACTGGCAATGTAATTCTTGAATAAAGTTTAATGTAC